GCCTCTGTGCAAGTCTTAAGTCTTTTTATCTTTATAGCCACATGGTGTAAATTAACTAAGTTCATAAACTCAACAAGTACTATACTTGGGCACAATTTTGAGATACTTGTACTTTATTTAAGTATTTCAATGTTTTGCTACTTTGTTCTTCTACTCCACTACAGTTCGAGAGGTACTTTGACTCTAGTATGTAATACCTTTAGTTACTTTACAGATGTGGATGAATGATGTGAAATATAATCAAGTGTTAAATCAGACTTTAGTTCCACCTGGAGTAAATTCACAAGCTACCCTGCAGTATACAAAGTCATTCAAACTAGCTGCACCTTTACCAGCTTTGAGAACACTTTCATGATCAGTCATTATAAAACCTATCATATCTATTATTCTGAAATGGACCAATCTGCACAATGACTACTTTTACTGTCGCTACTTTCACTATATTTTGATGATAATACTTTTCTACTTTTACTTCAGTAACATTTTGAATGTAGGACTTTTACTTGAAACAGAGTATTCCTACACTCTGATACTTCTACTTTTACTCAAGTACAAGATCTGATTACTTCTCCCACCTCTGAAAATAAGGATATTATGTGTTTTTTCATACCTGAAGATTTGGAATTGTCTGAACTTTTTACAGATTCTGATTCCACGTCAGCCAACCGCATCTCTTTAGACTTTTGTGATGAATGTTGTAGTTTCCTGGTTTAACATAGGAAAGGAACATAAATGACTGAAAATACCTTTGTAGGGAGAAAAAAACCTGATACATAAAACTGCTGATGATTTACATAATCATTTTAGATTCGCTTTGCAAACATCAACCAAGTAGAATGGATAGTTTGCCATGCCTATCTGCCTGTTGACACATTTTGAATGCATTATAGTTTGTCTTTCCTGTGTATAAAACTGACTCGATAATACTGGGCACAGAATAGGTTGAATCAGAACCAGGACTTATTCGTCGCACAGCAGGGACATTTACAGCGTCATAGCAGCAAGGTAAAGAGAAAAGGCAAAAGGACAGATTTGCATTTTTAATAACTAGTTAGGCACATGTTATTAAGAATATAGACAAATAAGTGAAACAAATAAGCACACCATGGTAAAAAGTAGCATTATTGTTTCAAGTAAGTGAACATAAAAAAGTATTGAAAAGGCCGGTAGCGTTATAAATTGTACAAATGGTATATGAATATATTGTAAAGGATTACATTTAAATACAAATTAAATGTGGGAAATTAATTAGGCACTTTAGAAACTTTTATTTTGATGTTGGGACAGTTACTGACAAACAACATTTAAAAAATAAGTATTATTAATTCCCACCGATTGAAATACCCAGCACTGACCGAATGTAACTCTGTGCTGATTATCAGAGCATCTCTAAACTGGCTATTTCAAGGTTCAAGGTTCTTTATTTGTCACAAGAACTAGCTACAGATTAGTTATGTCGATGAAAATCTTAGGTCACAGGCTTATTTTCATTTTGTGCTTCTATTGCACTGCATTTCAGAGGGAAGTGTACTTTTACACTGCTGTTTCTCAAAGACACTTTACAGATACATGTTAAAATGAATTATACTAAAAAAAGACATACTTAAAACATGAAACAGACAATATTAATTACACATTAAAAGCAGCTCTGAAAAGTGAGATTCGACTTGAGATTTGAACAAATAAAGATAATAATAACAAATAATAATAACAAATAATAATAATAATAATAACAAATAATAATAATAATA